CCCACTATTTCAGACACTGGGAGGTTTAGAATCATCAAATCTTGTACTTTGATGCATCTTGGGACCTTAAAACATATTTATGAAAAAGTAGGTCACTGTGACCTACTTTTTAGGTCACCTAAGTAAACTCAGGTGACCTATTGCTATCTGGATTGGGTTGCTCAAAACTCTGGTTAAGGTTAACCGCTGGTTAAATCTCTTATCCAGTGGTTAACTTTTAACTGTTGGTTAAATTCTGTTGCTCAAAATTTGTCCACTGGTTAACTTTGTTATCAAGTGGTTAAATATTGGCTAAAGTTAGCCATTCCACAGAGGTGGGTTAAGTCTCTTAACCAGTGGATAAATATGACTAAAAATCATTATTTGTTGTAAATTTTGGGGGATAACAAAACAAACAAATGCTTATAGATATTGTAACCAAGAATTTAATGTTGATGAATACTTAAAAAGACATATCCAGTCATTTATACAAGTCGAGTTAAATTGGCTTTGTAGCAATATTAGGCAGGGATAACAACACTGTCAGAAATATGATAGGTTTTCAAGTCTTCATCGTCAGCAGAAATGTTTTAAATGGGTTCTTTCAAGAATAAATTTGTTGGCAGTGCAAAGGATCTTGTCAAGTGGCCATCCCCTGCTGAAAAATAAATAATAATTATATGTACATTTTAAACAAAATTTATAAATTGTTAAAATTGTTGGTCATTTGCATATAGGTCTAATTATTTATATAGATAAATTGAAACATTTTTTGGGTTACCTAACATAAACTTTTAAAAATGAATTGAGAATTTTCAACCCTCCCCCACCTCGATCCCTATGTCTAAATACATGTATCTTGAATTATGAACTATTTGTTTTTTTTTCTTCCAAAATAATATTAATTATTATTGATAAAGATTTTTAATTACTACAAATATTGATACTAATATTAACAGGCGTGGTGTTTATAAAATACACTTTGAATAATGCATTTTAGTTACACAGCGAAATCTAATTGTACGGAGCGAAATGCACTAGCGACGAACTCGCTATATCAACTTGTATATGACCTTTCGCTTTCCGTAATATAAAAAAAATACTATCAACTGTCAGTGTTAGTACATTGTAATACAGGATGACATAAATGTGAGGGAAAATATTTATTGTATGGAAATGTTTTACATACCACTGAACCGAATCTTTCTGTCAAGGTATGTATGAAAGCGATAATACAACAAGTGCGAATTTCCTCGAAAAATAGCAGACGATGTTTACATCGTGTAAAGGTGTTATGACTCCAATCAGTTGTTATTTAAATAGGTCCCTATGAGACGATACACATATTTGCCTCGTAAGTATAGCCGATTCTTGGAAAGGAATAATTTTGAAGAGATATATGGCGATTCACCATGCCTATAATTATTTTATTTAAAAAATTAAACAGTTTCGAGCGTCGAAGTTTCTTCTATCAGTCTGAACACAGCCTCATATCCATCTTACCTTTGATGCTAATCCTCCTATGCCAGTCTATGTCCTTACTGCATCCTCCACCTAAATTTTCTGCAAAGTATGCTTTCCTCACTTTTTGTGACTACCGGTAAAATTTTTGTTTAGTTTTGATAACTGTTACACCTCGATATTTCCCCACATCTCCAATACGGTTGTAACATTAAATTCTCACTATTTACTAATTTGATATTTATCATGGAAGCCATTTTTTTTGGTTGACAACTGGACAAATGTAATGCATTATGGGATACTAACCAGTGGTTAAATCACTTAACCAGTGGTTAGTTAACCAGAGGATAATTTTATTTTGAACAACAAATATTTGACCAGTGGTCAGTTACCCAGTGGATAGAGAATTTAACCAACGGCTAACTTATCCAATGGACAAATTTAACCAGTGATTTGAGCAACTCAGTCCTGTTTTCATCCGTCGTCGTCCGTCGTGCGTCGTTCGTCGTGCGTTAACATTTGAACATTTTCAGCTTCTTCTCTGCAACCACTGAACCAATTTCAACCAAATTTGGCACAAAGCATCTATAGGTGAAAGGGAACAAAAATTGTAAATTTCATGATCCCTGCCCCCCTGGGGCCTGAGGGGTGGGGCCAAAACCACTAAAATTAATGCAATCTTTAAAAATCTTCTTTACTCCTGGACATCAAGCAGTCAAACTGTTTGCATGATTGTAATCAGCAATGAGTCCTCTACAAAAAATTGTGAAATTCATGGCCCTGGGGTCAGGTGTTCTAGTGCTAGGGCGGGGCTAAATAAGTATATAGTGAAAAATGCATTATTTCTTTGAAAATCTTCTTCTCTGCTCCTGGGTATTGAATAAACCAACTAAGTACATAGTTATGATGAGCAAGAGTGCCTCTACCAAAATTGTGAATTTTATGGCCCCAGGGTCATAGGTTCTTGTTTTAGGGTGGGGCTCTATTATTATATAGTGCAATGCATGAATTCTTTGAACATCTTATCCTTTGCTCCTGGTTAATATGCTAATGATCTAATTACATATTTAAGGCCAGGATTTCTTTTATTTTCAGTTTTACAAACCCTCCGCTCAAGGTTTTGAATTTTCTGAAGAAAATAAAACAATTTTTTTCTTTCCGATGTCAAATTTGAGTCGGGATAGAGATTTCAAATTTACGAACTCGCACTTCCGGTTTTACGATGAATGAATCCATTCGGCTCACCTCGGCTGACTAGGGTACCCTACATTGATGTAATCGGCCGAGGTGTGCTGAATGGAATGAATCGGCAGGTAAATAAAGCTAGATCTGAGAAGATAGCTTGGTTTAGTGTAAAATTCATCGATACGAGTGCCATTCAAAACGTTTCACCCGTTCAAAGGACACATAAAATGCTGACGACTTTGTTGCACAATGACATGCTGGTGAGATAATTATGTATTCGTTTCAAAAGTAACTGTAAATTATTTTCCTCCCCCAGGTTTTAAACTGCCCTTGGTAGCTATTGCATATTGCCAGGGACATTGTTTAGGTCTCTGTTATAGCTTACAGTCTAAGCATCATTCTTCAGAAAAGGGTTGCTTATGCATCAGATGTAATGAATAAAACTATGGGAGAAGTGAAGTCCATTTGAGGAAGAAATAAACGAAAAATAACCTGAAGAAATAAAAAAAAAACTATTAAAAGGCAAGAACATACAAATATATACAGGGATGTAGTATCATTTGTATCAGCCAGAAAAATTATTTTACACTTAATTGAAAAAATGTTGACCCTACTCCCCAATACTTCCTGTCTGTTTTATGATAGGAATTATAATTTTAGGCATCAAGTAAATTTTATAACAATGTCTACACGTTCACCTAACACATATTAAAAAAAAATGAAGATATATTGAAAGACTTTTAAAGAATTGATTTTTTAAAATATATTTTGATCAACATCACAAAATTTATATAACTGGCCCAAACTGGCAGATGATGAAATAAGCAATTAAATGTTCTACTTTCTTATTTGTAAGCATTATGTGTCCAGTGGTAAGGAGCCTATTAAGATAGCATAAAAAAAGAATGTACAAATGTTAATTGATTTATCAAAAAAAAAATTTATTCCCTTCTTTTTCGGGACTTTTTAGCTCACCTGAGCTGAAAGCTCAAGTGAGCTTTTCTGATCACATTTTGTCCGGCGTCCGTCTGTCTGTCCATCTGTCTGTCCGTCTGTCTGTCCATCTAGCTGTCCGTCTGTAAACTTTTCACATTTTCGACTTCTTCTCAAGAACCGCTGGGCCAATTTCAACCAAACTTGCCACAAAGTATCCTTGGGTGAAGGGGATTCAAGTTTGTTCAAATGAAGGGCCATGCCCTCATTCAAGGGGAGATAATTTGGAATTAATGAAAATTTGGTGGCATATTTAAAAAATTTTCTTCTCAAGAACCACTGTGCCAGGAAAGATGAAACTTATGGGGAAATATCTTCAGGTAGTGTAGATTCAAGTTTGTTCAAATCATTATCCCCGGGGGTAGGGCGGGGCCAAAATGGCCGACCAAAGTTTTACATAGAAATATATAGGAAAATTCTTTAAAAATCTTCTTCTCAAGAATGACAAAGCCATAATTCATCATATTTATATGAAAGCATGTTCAGGTAGTGTAGATTGAAGTTTGTTCAAATCATGACCCCCGGAGGTTGGGCGGGGCCAAAATGGCCAACCAAAGTTTTACATAGAAATATATAGGAAAATTCTTTAAAAATCTTCTTCTCAAAAATGACAAAGCCATAATTCATTATATTTAAATGGAAGCATGCTCAGGTAGTGTAGATTCAAGTTTGTCCAAATCATGACCCCGGGGGGTAGGGCGGGGCCAAAATGGCCGACCAAAGTTTTAAATAGAAATAAATAGGAAAATACTTTAAAAATCTTCTTCTCAAGAATGACAGAGCCAGAATTCATCATATTTATATGGAAGCATGCTCAAGTAGTGCAGATTCAAATTTGTTCAAATCATGAACCCCGGGGGTAGGGCGGGGCCAAAATTGCCGACCAAAGTTTTACATAGAAATATATAGGAAAATTCTTTAAAAATCATTTTCTAAAAAATAGCAAATCCATGATTGGTCATGCAGTGCTCCAAGTTGCGACTAAAACGGTCGCATTTGCGACCCAAAAATTGGATTTGCGACTAGAAATTAAAACCAAGTCGCATTTTTGCGACTGAGAAAATTTGGGCTGGCAACGTCCATCTTTTTATGATCGGGATCGAGATTTACGTTTTTAAGATTCTCTATCAAGACAACGTTTGAAGATAAATACTTTAACACATTTTAAAAAGCGTCGTATAGACTTAGAACAAGTAATGTTATGACAGCATGCTGTAATAGTAAAGTTAGATAGAACCAGAAACGTTTCTGAGAGAATGGCATCCAAACATCGTAAACTTTCTAGAGTTTCCCTGACTTTGTTATGTGAGCATTTGGTCAATGGCTTGCATATCACAATTAAGTGTTTTGGTGGCATTGATAACGACTGAGTTATGGTTAAGATGCGTAGTTGTAAGTAAACAGGTAAACATGATAAACAACTGTCAAAGTTTTATTTTATTTAGATTAAACTCTAATTCTAGGATCAGATTACTTGTGTTCTTCTGTGTACATATACTATACAAAGGGTGGTTGTATTTAATAAAAATTTATCCTTCAACTAGCAAAAGATTTCTAGTCACAGTAATTATTAATCTTTGATTTAATAAAAACATAACAGATGTGGAAGTTAGTTCATTGTTTTAATAGTGTTATTTACATGTTTTAATCATGGCGAGTGAAAAATTTGGTTATGGCAAGCAGAAATTCTGAAATGGCGACCAAAAAGAATTTTAGGTCGCCATTTAGCAACCTAAAACTAAGTGTGACTTGGAGCACTGTCATGGGAATACTTTTGGATTTAAACTTCACAATAAAAAGCCATTTTCTACTTTTTCCTACCCTTAGTGCTCAGGTTAGCGATGTGGGCCATGGGCCTCTTGTTTATTCTCATGTTCATAACTAAACCTAAACATAAAAAAATGCTGGCCTTATAATGAAGAACACGGCCTCTTTCAAAATAGATAATTTTGGGGCTGCTGGGTCAGGGGTACCAGGGGGGTACTTTGACTAAAAATAAATTAATGCTTTGAAATCTGCCCTTTGATAAGCAATGGTGCCTCTTTCAAAATTTTTGAATTTCATGGCTTTTGGCTTAAAACATGAACCAAATACAATCGCTGGAAAGTTGTTACATGATACTCAGGTGACCTATAAGGCCTGTGGGCCTCTTGTTGAATTTTCCCGACATCCCGACATTTGTTTTCAAATTGTTTCAAACGCATATTTTGATTACCTTCAGACCTACGATCATCAAATTTGGTCAGTAGATGCATCTTGGGTCTTTGAAAAATGTCGACCAAAATGTAGGTCACGATGACCTACTTTCGACATTTTATGTCTATATTGAAGTATCTTAGGTATTTATTGGCTTAGAATCATCAAACTTTGTGAGTCGATGTATATTTGGTTTTCGGAGAGTGACGACCAAAAAGTAGGTCACGGTGACCTACTTTTGACATTTTATGGCCTTATTTTTAAGTATCCGGTACTTATTGGCTTAGAATCATCAAACTTTGTGAGTTGATGCATCTTGGGTTTTCAGAGAGTGACGACCAAAAAGTAGGTCATGGTGACCTACTTTTGACATTTTTGGCTATTATTAAGTATCTCTGGTACTTATTGACCTAAAATCATCAAACTTTGTCAGTTGATGCATCTTGGGTTTTCGGAGATTGCCGACCAAAAAGTAGGTCACATGACCTACTTTTGACATTTTATGGCTATTTCTAAGTATCTCAGGCACTAATTGGCTAAGAATCATCAATCTTTGTCGGTTGAGGCATCTTGGGTTTTCATTGAATGTCGACCAAAAAGTAGGTCACAATGACCTACTTTAGAATATCTCAGGTACTTATTGGCTTAGAATCATAAAATTTTGTCAGTTTAGGCATTTTGTGTTTTTGGATAAGGTCAACCAAAAAGTAGGTCACCGTGACCTACTTTTGACATTTGGTGGCTATATTTAATTTTTGTCTGGTACTAATTGGCTTAGAATCGTCAAACTTTGTCAGTTGATGCATCTTGGGTTTTCAGAGAATGTTGACCAAAAAGTAGGTCATGGTGACCTACTTTTGAATATCTCAGGTACTTATTTAATTAGAATCATCAGTCTTTGTCAATTAATGTACCTTAAGTCCTCAGAAAATTTCAATCAAAAGGTAGGTCACTGTGACCTACTTGTGGTATTTAATAATTATATTATAATATCTTCAGTCTTAACTGGCTAGATATTATCAAACTTTGTAAGTTGATGCATTTTGGGTCTTATGATACTAATAGAGTTGGAGGCTTCTAATAGAAGTGTTAGATTGTACAATTTATCAGAAGAGCGATTCAAGGCCCTTGGGCCTCTTGTCTGTAGCGTTATGGTCAAAGACAAATATATAAAACCATGACGCTACAGATCTGCAGCTAAGGAGCTATGTGGCTGATGGGCTTCTTATTTAATATGTCTGTGTATTTTTACAGTGTTGTATTTTACTCAGGTGACTGTTATGGCCCATGGGCCTCTGTATTTAGTCTATGTTTAATGGAGAAAAAATGTCAATTATGTGTTCTGAGAACTCTTCTTAAATAGTACATGATTGTGACTTTTTTATCCAACCTTTGATTTTTTAGATAAAGTTAATGAGTTAAAGACGTTCTTGAGAAAGGAGAAGACAACTGTCACCCATGCCAGAGGAATACTTGTTGGATGTGCTGAGGCTGGAAAAACAACGCTACTGAAGCGATTAAGAGGGCAAAGTCAAAATATCGGCGAAGTTACAGAGTCCACCAGGGGACTGGAAGTCCATCAACATGTCTTCATTGTTAAAGATGGAAGTTTAGAAGGTAACTGATACACAATCACAGGACATATTTGCTGTTTTACAGATTTTGCATTTTAGATCTTCTGAGCCAAAGACCTTGAGACCTTCGCTAATACCATTTTACCATGTTTACTGTGACTCTGATTCCTGCGTAAAAGACAGAATTTGAAGTCCTTCACTGATAAATGGCGGTGTCTCTATATCAGTGAAAAATTACTGAAAATTGTTGATTGAGACGTCAAACAACATTCAATGAATCAAGCATTGATATATTCTCTTTCTTAGAAATCACACTTTGGATCTTGGGACTTCAGAGATGAACTTGCACTTACAAACCTTAACTTTCAACTTTTTAGCTCAAGTGAACTGAAGGCTCAAGTGAGCTTTTCTGATCACATTTTGTCCGGCGTCTCTCTGTCTAGCTGTCCGTCTGTCTGTCTGTAAACTTTTCACATTTTCGACTTCTTCTCAAGAACCGCTGGGCCAATTTCAACCAAACTTGCCACAAAGCATCCTTGGGTGAAGGGGATTCAAGTTTGTTCAAATGAAGGGCCACACCGTCATTCAAGGGAGATAATGGGGAATTAATGAAAAAATGGTGGCATATTTTAAAAATCTTCTTCTCAAGAAGCACTGTGCCAGAAAAGATGAAACTTATGGGGAAAGATCCTAAGGTAGTGTAGATTCAAGTTTGTTCAATTCATGACCCGGGGGGGGGGGGCAAAATGGTCGACCAAAGTTTTACATAGATATATACAGGAAAATTCTTTAAAATTCTTTCAAGAATGACCAAGTTATAATTCATCATATTTATATGGAAGCATGCTCAGCTAGTGAAGATTCAGATTTATTCAAATCATGACTCCCGGGGGTAGGGCGGGGCCAAAATGGCCAACCAAAGTTTTACATAGAAATATATAGGAAAATTCTTTAAAAATCATCTTAATAATGACTAAGCCATACTTCATCATATTTATATGGAAGCATCCTCAGGTAGTGTAGTTTCAGATTTGTTCAAATCATGACCCCCGGGGGTAGGGCGGGACTAAATTGGCTGACCAAAGTTTTATATAGAAATATATAGGAAAATTCTTTAAAAATCAGGAATGACTAAGCCAAAATTCATCATATTAATATGGAAGCATCCTCAGATTGTGTGGGGTCAAATTTGTTCAAATCATGACCTCGGGGGGTAGGGCAGGGCCACAATGGCCGACCAAAGTTTTACATAGAAATATATAGGAAAATTCTTTAAAATCTCTTCTCAAAAACCACTGTGCCAGGAAAGATGAAACTTATATGGAAGCATCCTCAGGTAGTGTAGATTCAAGTTTGTTCCAATCATGACCCCCGGTTGTTGGGCGGGCCAAAATCGCCGACCAAAGTTTTACAAAGAAATATATAGAAAAATTCTTAAAAAATCATTTTCTCAAGAATAGCAAATCCATGATTGGTGTTATGGGACTACTTTTGCATATAAACTGTACAATAAGAAACCAATTTCTACTTTTTCCTTGCCACAGTGCTCAGGTGAGCGATGTGGCCCATGGGCCTCTTGTTAAGGGTTAGGGTGATTATTAAGGTATTTTATCGTATACCCGTCAATTTCCATGATTTTGTAAATGTTAATTTTACAGAGTTTTATTCAATGTTCCAGATCACCACACTGGTTTTCTCAATCCACATCACTGTTCTCTGAAATTGATGACGTAGTGCACAGAAACATAAACATTTTTTTCTTGCAAATCAAAAAGTTGCTTAACAAAATACTTTGTAACAAGGAAAGGAGAAAATGTATGGCTGGACAGGGAATCGAACTCGGAACCCCTGCATCTCTAGTCAGGTGCTCTACCAACTGAGCTCTCCAGGCCGATACCCACGGCCCAAACCATTACATTCCTCCCTCCTAAAATTGTTTTCGCCCTCGAAAACACAACCCAATTTCTTATTAGCCCCTGGAAGGACTTTCACCAGTAATTCCAGGGGTGGTCAACGACACCAAATCTGTAACAGGAAAGGAGAAAATGTATGGCTGGACTGGGAATCGAACCCGGGACCCCTGAATCTCTAGTCAGGTGCTCTACCAACTGAGCTATCCAGGCCGATATCCACGGCCCAAACCATTACACATGGAAAAATATTATTTAATTGATCTTAAAATTTTTTAAAACCATAATCTGATAGTTGTAAGGAGGGTATAAATGTATAATAAAGAACAAGGTACAATTTCAATACAAATAAAGCCCTGTATTTTTCTAAAATAAGAAAATGATTTAAGAAATTAAAAATTCATTCATTCTGATTCATTGGAATTCCATACAGTAAGAATACATAAATTGTATTTCTCATATGACTTCCTAAATTTTTATTGTGAAGTCATTAACTTGTGCAATTTCCCGTATTTTCTTAAAAAGTTTCAGAAGACATTAATTTTCAGTGATGCTTTCTTTCAGAAAACATACTCTGCTACCGTCACCCAAAAAGATTTTGAGATGTGTGATTTTTCAAAGCAGTTTACATAATATCATAAATGCAAAAACTGAAGTGGGCAATGATGGCAGACACTATTTTTTAAAGGAAAATAAGCACAGAAATGGGTTATTAGGAGGCTTTTCTGCGTTAAAATTAGAAATATATACTTAATTAATGATGTCATATTTTCAGGAAAGTCCTCCTTTATGTCATATTCTTTAATGATTTATCATATCCATCTAGATCTACTCAACTCTTGTTAAAGACAATTTCATAACTTTTTTAGAACATTAAATTTTAAGGGCACAATAAAGTCCAAACTGTACCTTCTTTTTTGTGATTCAGTGTATAACAGTAACTTAATCCAAAGAGTCATATCACGTCTTAAATTGTTGACAGGCACGGATCATCAGAACAAACTCGACGTTTCGTGTCTTGTTTCATATAATGATCCGCGCCTGTCAACTCAACGTTATACGACTCTTCGGATCAAGTTTCTGTTATAATAATATATCATGAAGTACCAGTCTATATTCAATATTATTTATTATGTCCCCTTTGGAAGAAGGAGGGAATATTGCTTTGCTGCTGTCTGTCGGTCTGTTGGTCCACTTAGTTTCTGTTAACTTTATTCACAACCACTGCACATATTGAAATGAAATTTGGTATACAGATATATCTAGATCAAGTTCTGTTTTTTGGTATGATCGCACCATATTGGACAGAGTTATGCCCTTTGGACTTAGAAAAATTCCAATTATTTGCAGTTTCCGTTCATTATCTTCAAAACCGTTGCACATACTGAGATGAAATTCGGTATACAAATATATCACATGGGTATCTAGGTCAGTTTCTGGTTATGATCAAACCATTTTTGTCAGAGTTATGCCCCTTAGACTTAGAAAAAGTTCAATTTTTTGCAGTTTCTGTTCATTTTCTTCGCAACCGTTGTACATACTGAAATGAAATTTAGTATACAGATTTATCATATGAATATTTAAGCCAAGTTCTGTTTTGGGTACAATCATGCCATTTTTGACAGAGTTATGCCCTTGTTCTGTTTTGGATACAATCATGCCATTTTTGACAGAGTTATGCCCTTTTTGGACATGGAAATTCCTATTTTGCGGGAGGGCGGCATAAGTGTTTTAGAAATATTTCTTGTTTGAAACATGTCATATGCATTAAAAGAAGGCAAATATGATAAAATTATCTCTAATAATTTGTAATGTTATTAAGTATTTCTAGAGTACATGTACTTAATATCATATAAGATAATTTTAATGAAAATTATTTACATGTATTAACAGTAGCTGATGATGATTCACCATTGAAGACATTTATCAGGATAAATGCAGCGGACCTAAAGCCAAACATGAGCGGTGCAGTTGACCTCTCCAATCCAAATGAAAATAGAGATAATTCGGGACTGAAAAGTCATTACAAAGAGAGGGGGGAAACCATGCTCTATAGCCGAGAAGAAGAGAAAGTTGAGTTGTCTAGCCCACCAACTAAACGCAAAAAAGAAGTCAGTACAGTAGAAATAATGGCAAGTGTTCTCTCCTCAAAAGAAGAAAAAATGGTGAAAGATGAAATTTTTCAGAAAATCTTGTCTGAAAAAGAGAATTTACCAACTGTTAGCATGCTGGATTTTGCTGGACAGTTAGCGTATTATGCCTGCCACCAAATTTACGTAACACCAAAGGCCTTCTTTATCCTTGTGTTGGACATGACTAAGAAGTTTGAAGATGTTGTCGATAAAGAGAAAGATAATCAAGAAGGATCAATCTTCTCTGTGTGGACTTACAAAGGTAAGACAAGATGTTGTGATGTCAAATTCTTATGCCCCCCTTCGAAGAAGGGAAGGCATATTACTTTGCTGCTGTCCGTCGGTCTGTCGGTCCATTTAGTTTCCGTTCATTTTCTTCACAACGGTTGCACATACTGAAATGAAATTTGGTATATAGGTTTATCAGGTAAATATTTAAGTCAAGTTCTGTTTTGGGTACGATCACATCATTTTTGACAGAGTTATGCCCCTATGACTTAGAAAAATTCCACTTATTTGCAGTTTCCGTTCATTTTCTTTGCAGAGGTTGCACATATTGAAATGAAATTTTAGTATACAGATTTTTCAGCTGAATATCTAGGTCAAGAAATTTTTGGTTATGATCGCACCATTTTTGTTAGAGTTATGCCCCTTGGACTCAGAAAAATTCCACTTAGTTGCAGTTTCCTTTCATTTTCTTTGCAGAGGTTGCACATATTGAAATGAAAATTAGTATACAGATATATCAGATAAATATCTAGGTCAAGTTCTGTTTTGGTTACATCGTATCCTTTTTGTCAGAGTTATGCCCCTTGGACTCAGAAAAATTCCACTTATTTGCAGTTCCCGTTCATTTTCTTTGCAGAGGTTGCACATATTGAAATGAAATTTTAGTATACAGATTTTTCAGCTGAATATCTAGGTCAAGAAATGTTTTGGGAAGGATCGCACCATTTTAAACAGAGTTATGCCCTTTTGGACTTAGAAAAATTCCAATTTGGGGGGAGGGGGGGGGGGGGGGCATAAGTGTTTTACAAACATCTCTTGTTATCTGTGTGGCTTACACTCATGAAGATAAAAAAAAATATGCAGTACAAGGCATTCAAGCTTGCCAAAAAATGTAAGAAAAAATTAAAAAAAAAATGGAGCAAGGTTAAACTTTTCACAAATTGTCCTTGGGTATAGGATATTCATTTCTGTGCAACTGAAGGACCAAACCATCTTCTTAACCCTTTCTCTTCCGGCGCATTTTACGTGATTTTGGAGGCCTTTTGACATGGCATTATTAAATTATTTCCAACTTTTTTATCCAAGGGGAAAGCTAGGCATAATGCATACAATTTTGTAGGAAATGTCTTACAGATGATATTTTATGACTGTTTAGATACTCAACCACTGACCTTATTAGTAAAAATTGAGGTCAAAGGTCAATTAAGTGCAAAATTTTATGGGAATTTTTGATACTTTTTCATCTTTAAGCTAAATATTATGTATGATGCATGTTGAAATAGGAAATTTGGGATATACCCAAAAAAGAGCATTATACTGTACTGCATGAAACACATAAACTTTTTTTTCAATTCTGCATATAACTACTTAAAAGGGGTTGCTAAGCAACGCAGAATTCTTTAATTTTCGGGCAGAAATTTTCATTTTTTACTCATCCTAGACACATTTATGCATTCCAGCACATATAAAAGTTAGATGTGAGGTCATAAAATTACAAGGGACATACAACAGATAAATTGTCTTAAAGTTTGACCTCATTAGAACTATTTTTAGGAGGTCAAAGGTCAAATAAGTGCAAAAGTTTCATCAATTTTTTTTCAACACTTTTCAATATTCTTGCCATAATTGTACGCAATGGATGCTGAAATGGAAAATTCTGAATATACTCTCAAGAAGGGATCAGAACTGCAATATCCATGCATCATTTGAGTTCAAATATCTGTTTAATGACCTTTAAGTGGTTGCTAAGCAACATCATTTTAAAGTTTTTGGCTATATACATGTTTGTTATTTCACATTCTGGACACATTCTAGACACATTTTGTATATTTCATCATATTGTTTGTAAGATATGGGCCATAAAGATGAAAGAACATTTTTGTATTTAAAAATGACCTTGACACTCTTGTTCTTCAGGGGGTCAAGGTCATATCAGTACAGAATTCTACTTTAAACTGTAAGTAAATATCAATTTTGAAATGCTTCAAACATGGATAAATCATCTAATAGTTGACGTAATAAAAATGGCGAACTACAAAATTTGCAAGCAAAGAATTCTGGCCTTCTTACAAAGCCCTAGCAAAACATGTATACCAGGGTACTATTTTTTTGTTCAACATGAAATCCATTCTCTTGATGCCATTAAAAATAATCTTTATTTTCATGGATTTAATCAAACAAGAAAAAAAAAACTAAATGATTTCATTACAAGATTTTTCTGGTAAAACAGAGCTTAAGGGGTACAATAAAGACTTGACATGATATCTTGGAGGGAAATAATAATAACAGATAGCATTGGCAATATTTAACACAAAACTGTTTAGGCAATAAGTTGACGCTTATATCCAAATATACAAATCCAGAAATATTGCAAGATGAATTCCAAATCAGACTGAAATCTTCAACAAAATGTTGAAGAGCACTTTTACTTTGTGTCCGCCATTCTTTTATCAACTGTCATTTCTCTATAAGACTGGAGGAAATTCTTTGACTTGTCCAAGACATTATTATTTGCTGTCAAGTACAAGTGATCAGCTTCTATCCTGTAAAAGATTTAAGTATTTTGAAACAGATACATGTCATTGTGTATATAAATTCATATTTATAAATAAAATTAAGAATGCTAAAATTACTACAATTATTTGATTTTCCTTCTAAAATTAAAATTGTATTTATTATGTGATCAAAGCAGTTAAATGATATTGTTAAGTCAATGTATCAGGACTGATAATTCAACAACCTTGTAGTAAACCATCATGGTAAAATTACTGAACTAAAACAAATAGCATATATGGCATTCTGACTAAAGCCAGACCTCTAGCTGTTTATGCTACCGCAACATGTAAAAAAAATCTGGCATTAGATTGCTACGAAAGCCAGGAAGGGACACGTAAATTTTTGAAAAAAGTAAAAAATGATATCGAATCAAATTAGACAATCCAATCCCATGTATTACTAAATTGTTCCCTCGATTTATAATATGAGATCTCGAATTACACAATCTGATCTTAAGGATTACTAATTCGCCCCCTTGATTCATAATTTGAGATCTCGAATTACATACCGGTAATTTGTTTTCACAGATTGATAATTCAGCATTTCGATTTGTTACAACGTCAGTCTTATGATTTTGGAAATCTGTGCTCTTGAATTTCATTACATATATGTACAGATACATCCAACCATTTTAATCAATAAGAGCGTTCTATTTATTTTGTTTCAGCAACCGGTCGTTTCCAACCTCTTTCATAACTAATTCAACGTACCGGTATATTTATTTTATAAATATTATGTTTACACAGGACCAATATTCACTTTTACTATCTAGGACTTTCAATTATTCTAATATACAAGTAACACAAAAACCTCTAAGAAATTTTTGTTGTACAAATATCAGTACTAGCACATGGATTTGAAAATGTTCATGTATTTTTTTCATTTTGGACTGTAATATGTAATAAAAGTTAGGATGTAAAATACTACAATATTCTATTTTTTAAACATGTATTATCATATCCGATATGATCAGATAAATAATTTAAACGAAATCATGGGAAGAGTTTACATTCCGAGGGAATGAATCATTTAAACTAAGAGAATGAATTATACAATCTGAGATAATGGATTGTGTAATTTGAGGGAACGAATTGATAATCTGTGAGAATGAATTGGCAATTTGTTATAACAGATTGTCAATCCGAGAGAACCGATTGTATAAATCAAGAACTCGGTTTACTTTTATAAATTTTAAAAATTCTATGTCACTTCATGGCTTTCATAGTTTTCATACCTGCATGGCTGCCAGGCTTGTAAAAAGAAAGGAGACAATAGACTGCAATGTTACTTCAGGGCAAAATTCCTAGGGCAAGGCTGTTCGTGAGCATGGGAGTGTTGATAAACCATCCAATGAGTTTGACCACCCATGCATATGATGTACCATAATTGGAAAGTGTCTGAAAAATTGAGAAAATGGAAATGCTAACCACATACTTTATGCAGATTGGAAATACAACAGCAGTCTATAAAAACAGCTTGTTCCATATCTCGGCATTCATTCAGATAGATATTACATGTTTAAATATTTAAAACACTCATTTTTCAAAATATAAATCAAATGTTTATAAACTTGTATGAATGCGATATCATGAGACTTTATTTTTTTAAATTTAAGAAATACAGAAATTTTCAATACCAAAACAAAAATTTACCTGTTCATTGGTGTCCTTACACATTAATTGACCTTCGTAGTTCATGGTGGGCTTAGAAAGTGGGTATTCACAGATGAAAGTATTGTTGCATATGGTGAAAGCACCCTAAAATTTCAATGTGAAAGTTGTACATGTACACACTGGTACATAGATACTGAAAACAACTATCCATTATTATGACAACTTTGATTTTACTTTGAACTTACGAGTGATTGTCAAAAGCATCAAAGTTCAAAAACAATGCAAACTTGGCTGAACGATACGAAACACGCACACTGAAACATAAAGATCTAGTACATGTGTACATTTAGTTTTCTTTTGAACGTAAACTAATGCGTTTTAAACTTAAACTTTTCAGTCAATATACACGTATTCTCACCTGCTAATACCAAAGGCATGTCCGTATTATTTGATTCACTGATGTGAGGATCTTCGTCGTGAAATAATCAAGAAAACTGACGTTCAGATTTCGGATCATGTTTTTGTTTACAGCTATCACGGCGGAAACACGTGTTTATTTCAATTCGTATCAACTCATACAGTGATGAGTCGTATTTATTTATAAATACGAGTATTTGTATTGTTAAATATAGATCTAATTGAATTGCAAATTAATAAGTATATAGTATGACAAGATACAACAATATTAAAAATCTGATTGGTTTTTTTTAGTAAAGATCGACGTTTTGGAAATCTACAATTTTTATCAATATTGTATATCACTTCATGAAAAATACATCATTAGGGCCTACATGTAGATGAATAAATCAACATTCACTGAACACAAAAGGCAGAACGAAATTATAATTTGTTTTTTGAAATCTTTTTTTTTTTTGTATTATGCATTTATTTCAGTAAAAAATTATATTTAAATGGTCAAAAAAGTCTTATAAAAGAATTTGTTGTTTCGAGTAAGACGCAACAATATCGACCTTGACGTTACATGCAAATATTGACCGATTTTTCCATAAAAACTATGCGAAGGTCACAAATTCAAATTATCGTAATTAAGAAAATTCTGAGCATAAGAAGGCCTATAAGGGCTTGTTGGAAAGGAAATTTTCTCTACTTTTACCAGCTTTATTTTGTTTTCCCTATTTCAACACAGAAATAAACGTAAAACTGAGCTTTGTTTAAATATTACGAATAAAATCGAGAAAAAACACATAAGTGCAAGAAAATTCTTGTTTTTAAAATATACCTTAAAGTAATAACAATAATTTTTACATATTTTAAAAGTAGAGAAAATATGATTTAAGAATATACCATGCTTTCTTATAAAGTTAATCAGGAAAAAAATTGTTAATCGTCTGGAAAATCGGCAATCGCTTTGGAGAATTACGCCATTTTCAAAAAGTCTCGTTTGTCTTTACAACGTAAAATCGATTAAATACCGGCAATCAAAATATAATCTTTTTAGATATTTTAAAAGTAGAGAAAATTTCCAAAAAGATGATATATAGCTTATATGCCTTCATGCTACCACAAAATAGATACGGAGATCTTATTTTCGCGAAGTCGTGTTTTAACGCGCCACCGGTCAATTTGACCGGTACGGAAGTGAAGGGGTTAAGGAGAAAGATAATTGGGAAAATGAGCAGTTAATGGCATTTAGAAAATTCTTTAAGAACCATTCAGAGTCAAAAAGGTTTGATCAGAAGCATCCTCTTATAGTGAAGATTCAAGTTTGTTCAAATCATGTACCCCGAGAGAAAAGGGGGATCACAATGGGCCACAATTATTTAATATAGGAAAATACAGATTACATTTGTTAAAATCCCCCTGTCGAGAACAGCTAGCATACTTAAGTTTTGATAAGTTGATAATAATTATAAGACTGCCTGATGGTTTGTTACATACATACAATTTGCTACTGACACTATACACAGTAGTTAATTGTTGAATATAATTATGAAAGTGATTTGTAAAGGCAATTTCATAGGCAGTTAAATTTTCATTATTTTCTATACATTTTTAATTACATTAAATTAAATGTCTAATGAGAGTTTTTACATAACTATTGAGCGTTTTTGCATTTTTGTTAAAAGACAAGGCCTGTTCCTGTTCACTGTTGTAAATAATGGAGTCTCAACTAATTTTTATTTGTCTAAATTATTTTTTTTTAAGTTCGATGATATGGGCAATTTGGAAAGGCATTTTGACTTCTATTACCAAAATGAATAAAATTTAATAGATTTATAACAGAAGTTGTTTATGATTACAAAATTAGTCCGAAACAAATGGTATGGTTTTATTCACGTATTTCCAAATTCATATGATACAAGTATTTACGGGAGCAATTACATGATGTCCATTAAATTTCTTGCAATTTTTATCTCATTCTGATTTGTGTTTTATCTTTATCACATATGCAATTGAAATTGCTCTAAAAGTAATTGACTAATGCAATTTGGCGTTAAAGGAATACAAAATGTATTTTTAACCTAGGAAAGAGAATAAACTTGCAATGCAGTGACGACTATTATTATGAAGCCAATGCCAGAATTTCATGACAATTTCTCAAGGCTCCGTGTTTATCGTTGGCCAATGCAGTTTGCATGACTATCAAAAGGGCCAATGCAGGCAATGTGAATCTCTCTTTCTCCCTCTTTCCCTCTCTCTTCATATGTGGTCATTCTAACATTGCAAGGCTCTCTCAAGGTCCAATGCCCGCTTTGGCTGACTCTCTCAAGGTCTGATGCAGGCATAGGTTGACTCTCTCAAGCTCCAATGCAGGCATTGGGCAACTCTCTTGAGAGCCAATGCAGGCATTGGCTGACCTTCTCAAGGTCCAATGCAGGCATTGGCTGACTCTCTCAAGCTCCAATGCAGGCATTGGGCGACTTTCTTGAGAGCCAATGCAGGCATTGGATGGCTCTCTCAAGGTCCAATGCAGGCATTGGCTGACTCTCTCAAGGTCCATATGCAGGTATTGGCTGACTCTCTTGAGAGCCAATCCAGGCATTGGCTGACCCTCTCAAGGTCCAATTAATGCAGGCATTGACTGACCTCATATTAAGAGCCAATGCATTAACTGAATGTGCAGTTGGCCAATGCCTGCATTGACTGACTGATGTGTAGTCGGCCAATGCCTGCATTGACTGACTTGACATTGATAGATATTATAATGCACAATACCTGTCTGAGCTTGCATTCATACTGCATAGTAATGGAAGTCCTGCATTGAGGAACTGGGAAATGTAAATTATCTGCATTCGCATATATTAGTACAAATCAATAAGCATTATAACAATGAAGGTAAGGAGATTTAAAATGGGAGAATAATTCTAGTAAAAACAACTCCATCTGGAATTTCAGTGTTTTCCTTTTACCGATTTAACTTTATTTTGCTCAACTTTGAAAAGTAAAATTTTGTCAATCTAAATGTGTGCTTCAGAATAGGTTTTTGTAAGGGATGCATGAGCCATTTATAAACAAAGCTTAAAAAGTTGATATTGCAATAAAAAATTAGCTAAGACAAATCAAAATTTAGTTGATACTCCATTAAATACAACGGAAGTATTAGTTCTCGTCAATGATGTTTGTCTGTTTTATCCTATTACGATGCCCTATTTCTTTTTCAGACTACCTGAAGTTTTGGATAACCTCAATCAAGACTTTTGGAGGCACTAAGGCACCACTGTTCATTATTGTCACACACACAGAAAAAACATCTACAAATGTAAGTATTTTAACTGAATTATAAATATTTCAAACTAGATGTGAATTATAAGAATGAAGTTATCGCCAAAAAATCAAAATAATAACTAAAAAAATTTTTTCCCCGGTTTTGGACATATGCAGAACACTCAATTTTGTTCATCTAAGCCAAAGACTCAGTTGAGCTTATCTGACTAAAGTTGTCTCTTGTCTTTTTTAGCTCACCTGAGCCAAATGCTTAAGTAAGCTTTTCATGTTTAAAATTTGTCCGTTGTCTGTCGTCGACGGTGTTGCTGTTGTCGGCGTAAACTTTTCACATTTTCATCTCAAGAACCACTGTGCCAATATTAACCAAACTTGCCACAGTGTTTTTTTTCTTATATAACTGGTACCGATAATTGGCACCGTTCCCAATGCCAAAAATCGTTAATTTTTTCCAATTCTGTGACTAAAAATTCCCAGTTCAACTGTGGAGCAAAAGATTACGACGACATTGTATTTATTGTTAAATGAAACATTGTACAATTTGACTAATTGTTTCACTTCCGCTTAAATCGAAAGTAGAGAAAGTCAGAATTTGGTAAGACAGCATAGTGTAATATATTTTAACTAATTGAAACCATGACAATGTGAAAACAAGGGATGTTGATATTAAAACAATAAGTACTTGTTGTTTTTTCTTTAAAACAAGCGGTAATAGGTAATTAAGTAGGAAAAATGCAAAATACGTTGCATTTGCATAAATAAGGGAAAATTCTCCTTTGTTTTTCTTCGATGTTATTTTTCCCAATTGAACTGGTACCGGACCCTTTCCCAATGGGTGGAAAAAATCACTTTGCCACAAAGTATCCTTGGGTAAAGGGAATTCGAGTTTTTAGCTCTATTGGTCAGAGACCAGAAGAACTTATGCGAAAGAAATGCGTCCAGCGTCCATCCGTCTGTCTGTCCGTCTGTCTAGCTGTCTGTCCATCTGTCTGTCAGTAAACATTTTAGCTCACCTCGAAGATTGATTGATTGATTGTATATTGTTTAACGTCCCTCTCGAGAATTTTTCCCTCATATGGAGACGTCAACGTATGCAGGTGAAGGGCTTCAAATTTTGACCTTCATTCGGCATTCAGGGCCATTGAGCAGTGAGGGATCTTTATCGTGCGAATGCCTGCCGCTGACACAGGGCCTTGGTTTTTAAGGTCTCATCCGAAGGACCCACAATTTTCACTTCAAAGTGCCGAGCACATGGCGAAGGAACAGTTGCTACCCATTTTATCGACAGGGTCAGTCACGGCCGAGATACGAACTAACGACCTCCCGATCACGGAGTGAGCGCTCTACCGACTGAGCTACCGTGAACGGTCTCACCTCGAAGAAGTCCGGTCCATATCTTTCTTATGGATAAACTTGGTAGGTTCTCTTTTCACACAAAGATTGCCCATGACCCAGGGGTGTTTCATGACCTTGACCCAAGGTCATTTGGGAAGTTCAACGTCACTGGAAAAAAAAATTCATAATTCATGTGTGATGCATATCTTTAATATGGAAAAATTACTTACGAAAAACCCAGCGGGGGTATTTTGTCCCATTTGGACAGTTCTTTTTTTATTTATTGCTGTTGTAAAGTTCCAATTCCCAACTGCTTATGTACTTTTCTCTTCCTTTGCTATAAATACATTCCAGTTGAGCTTCAGTCTTGACAGAGACTTCTGGTTTTCAAATGAAGGGCCAGACTCTCTTCCAAAGGATGATAATTATAAATTAGGGAAAAATATATGGCATCTTTTAAAAATTATCTTCTAACCACAGAGCCAGGACAGATTATAATAAACTCATGTTGAAGCATCCTCAGGTAGTATAGATTCAAGTCTGTTTAAATCATGACACCTGGGGGTAGGGTAGGGCCAAACTAGGGTATCACATTTTAACAAGGGAATATGTAGGAAAAATCTACCTCTCAAGAACCAGGCCAGGAAAGAATTGAAACTCAAGTGGAAACATCATCTGGTAGTATATATTCAAGGTTTTTTTTTTTATCAAAAACACTGAGGGAAGGATGAGGCCACAATTGGGTATCAAAGTTTAAGATACATAAGAAAAATCTATAAAAATCCTCCTCTTACCAGAACAGCAAAGCCTGATTAGTCATAGTTATATGGAAGCATCATCTTGAAGTGTAGTTTCAAGTTTGTTCAAATACATACCCTTGGAGTAGTGTGGGGTGTGGCAACGCACTTTGAGGAAATAACAAGAGGCCCATGGGCCGTTTAGGTCATCTGAGCATCATGCAACAACTTTCAAATGATTGAATTTGGTTCATGATTTAAGCTAGATGCTATGTCCTTCACAATTTTGAAAGAGGCACCATTTCTAATCATAACTACAGTCCCTGAAACGTTGTACTTTCCCAACTGAACGGTGAACGAACAAAGACCGAACGGTGAGTGAATGATGTGCGAACGCTGAACGCAACTCAATGAACGATGTGTGCACGGTGAACGGTGAGTGAACTTAGAACGCGAACGGAGCACGAATGCGAGCACAATGTGAATGGTGAAGGAACTGTGAACGCAAGATGAATGATTTATTTGGAATGCCTCCGATCTTTTCCTTGCATAGAAGTTATCCTATTATTCTATAACTAATTTCATATGCTAAAATATAAATAAACAATAGAAAGATAAATAAGTAAATAATACAAAAAAAAAATTTCTGCACATACCTTTGTTTTAAATCGATATTGATATTTTAATAACATACTAATAACATGATTTTAATTGCCGTAAAACATGTGTATTTGTTACCGGACGTAGTTTAAATATAAGATCTACTTAATGTATAGGAAATATGCTTATTCTTTAAACTAATAAAATAATGTGGACTTTAAAAGATCTAGATAAAACTACTGCTTATAGAATGAATTAATTACATTGTACGCGGTTGAAACAATCAAACATGTATATCCGTGCCAAGGTGATTCTGAGAAAAATAACGGATTTTTTTATTCAAAACTGTCTGTCGACGTATTGCATAAAAAACACTCGTATTTTAAAATTCTGATGCAAAATATTCTATATTCATGTGTCATTCTAATGCAAAATATTCAGATCTATATTTATTCTTTTATGATGATTATTTTAGGTAACTTCTACATGTCTGTAGACATTAATTTCCCGGCCGTGATTATACTCAGATAAGATGATGGAAAGAGGCATGTCATTTATTATTAATAGATTAAATTTTCAAATTAAACTACGTAATGTGCGGTCATAGTTTTCTAAATATTCCAAGCAGTAAAAGTAATCAAATTTTTTTAAGATTATCAAATCCATTTGACAATGATCATTGGCTTTTATTTTCCATCTTCAACTTAACACGGTTCACAGGAAGTCCACGTGGTTGTCCTGTCAATCAAATTCATTTGACACAGTGGAGGTGTGGAAATCTCCATTTACCGAGCATGCAGAAGGCATTGAGTCACTTAGTATTTCCAAGAAGTTTGATTATTTTTCCCAATCATTACTAGATCTGATTTTTGCATTCCTGCAGAAAAAGATAAATAGATAATGGGAATATATACTTGGACGCATTAAATTTGAAATTGAATTTGAAACATATTCCCTGCCAATTTAGAATACTACTGTTGGCATATGTAAATTTTGAAATACTATTGTTTAATGACTGTTTGATGTTCGTTTGACAAGACTGATTTTCTTGTGCTACAATACTCATTTAAGGGTACTTACCACAATCAAAAAATGGATGCGCGGGTTGATATATATTTTTTGACTGATTTTGATTTGTATTGATGTAAATAATAAATCCCTGAAATATAAAGATATTGTAGGTTTTCCTTGGTGCTTAGATTTGAGATCTTATTTTGCCTTCTATATAATTCCATACAAAATTTTGCACAATTTTTTAACTTTATGACAAAATCTTATAAAATTCTCCCACTCTACTTGGTAAACATTATTCAGGTTGTCATTTACATGTAAATCTATGAGAAATAATGCTGATTTCAGAAAAAAAAAGTTTGTGTTATTTATCCTTTAATATTTTGGATATACTACTGTAGCTAAGAATTTGATTTCGGGAGAAAAGGGGGGGGGGCTCTTGATTATACTGAATGGCAAATATATATTTAGGTACGGTGAATGAAGTAATTTTCCCTCTCTAATAATAGACTTAACGTAAAGTACAAAAATTCTAATGTAATACATTTTAATCAGTTGGACTTTTTCTAAGATTTAAAATCTCGCTATCAATTTAATTAGCTCTAGAAAGATTGAATTAAATGAATATCTACCGTACTGTTCATAGTTCATTTTGACATTGCCCTTTTTTAAATTTAATATTTTAACATCGTTCTACATACATGTAGGTACTTGTATTATTTTCCAGTGAAATTACATGGATAAAGTAAAAGCCAAGTTGTAATAATAGAAATATAAATATCGTAGATAATTTTTGCTATGAAATAATTATTCTACAAACACAATATCTTAGTTATTTAATTAAAAAACGTGTAAATCCTTACCATCAAAAAGATAAGTCCTTTCACCTCGGAGTTCCGAATGACAATGAAGACTGAACGATAAGTGAACGGTGAACGCAAGATTAACAAAATGTAAACGGAACGAAGAGCAAACGATGAACGTTTTGTGAACGGTGAACGTGAGCGCACGGTGAATGGTGAATGCATAACTGTGAACGGAGAGCCAACAGTGAATGCACACTGAACGAACGGTGAACGCACGTTGATCGAACGGTTAACCAACGGAAAATGGGAAAGTAGAACGTTTCAGGGACTGTAGCTTTGCTTAGTCTGGTTACTTAATACCCATAGGCAGGGTAGGGGAACATAAATTATTTCAAGTAATCAGAAATACTGAGCAATAATCATTAGTGCCCCTACCACACATCAATCCCTGACCTTAGGTCCACACATTGCACAATTTTTGAAAAGGCACCCTTCCTTTTCAAAAACGTTTGATTAATACCAAGGAGCAGATTTCAACCATTTAATTC